AAAAAAATTGGGCCTCCCATACAAATAAAATGGGCCATCTGGTACATTTTGTATGGGGGGCCCATTTTTTTTTCATATTTCGACCTATGTTCCTTGGGGAAAGTTGTTCAGTTTCATGGGCTGATTCACCCCTTAAAATATTTGCAGTTGATTTTTTTACACCTGATATAACTAAACACTTAGGAGAAATGGTGATATCCTCCGCGGCACTTGCGCGAGTTAGTCAAATCAAAACACTGTAACGGCGAGTACAGTCGCAATTATAGACCTTGACTTTATAGACATAGAGTGTGAAATGAGTTTTTCGGCTCGCGCGTGGCTTTGTCAAATCAAAACACTGCAACGGCGAGTACAGTGTTACGCAATTATAAACTTTAAGTTTTTAGACATACAGTGTTTTTTCCATACCAATATCTTGATAACTATAGTATTTAACATAAAACAATGTTCTAGGGGAACATGTAGGAGGGGAAGAGATAGCGAATTGGCTTTATAGAAACAAAACACTGTATTGGACTTTACAGTGTGTTGTTTTGACACGGCAGAGTAACTATATCGATATTTAAAAACTTTTATATTTACAATAACCTTGAATAAATCAATAACCGACTTGGCATCACATGGATCTCACAACTTTTTACAGTAGATGAACTGAGAGGCGAGACTTGGTTCTTTTTACAAGTAAATGTTTTTGGTGGGATCTCATTTCTTTTTGTAGATAGTCTTCCTCTTTCTCTTATCTGGAACTACTTCTTGAGCCTCAGCTTAAGATTTCCTCAAAGCTCATCCGCAAAGTTAACTTTGTAATCCTATACATTTGTATGGAAATACAAAGCTAGTTATGCGGTTGCAACCGAATTTGCAGAATGTTATAGTTTTTCCTTTATTCATACACTAAATACAAGGTGTATTCTAAGTTTCAAGCAGGAGCCTGAGGACAGTCTGCTAGAAGTACCTTAGAATTTTGATGATCGGTCAGTCAGTCAGGCAGAAAATTGGGAAACTTTGACTATCTATAACTTCTAAACTACTGGTCCAAATTAAATGAAATTTGAAATGTATCGTGTCTACGCAGTGCTTGTTATGATATTTAAAATGAGGGTTCTAAACTTATCGACAAGGGAGTTATGGGGGGGTCAAAAATGGCCTGAACTGGTTCGAGAAAAGGATGGTACGGCCGTGCCGCTTTCAGCTCGACTTGGTGGGGGCACTGCCGTGCCCCCAGATTGAAAAGAAGGTTACGTACGTTGAACATTCCTAAAATGTCTTTTTTATAAATGAATGAAGTTTTTCTGTACTACCAGATTTCTTGAGACAGCTTTTATGTCTCCCGCGGGAAAAGATGGCTTGATTCTACGACCCCACGGGAAATAAATCATTAGCGGGGATAATTAAAAAAATGACCATGAGAACTCCGGGCGCCCTTTGTCCGAGGCAGACAATGCTCTACTAATCAGCAGATTTAAGGGCATCCCCAATGAAACTAGCGCCTGAGATGTTGCTACTGTATCTATAAGGCCACCAATTGTACTGATTTGTTCCTTTAACTCGTTCTTTTCATGTACTTTTTCCTGATTGTTTTATGTTTATTAAAAAGTATAGATATTTAATTTGATTTGATGTCACATTAGAATGTGCTGATTGAAGAACAAATAATGAATTTAAAAATACATTTTTATTAATTTACAGATAAATCAGTCCTAGTTTTATTGTTGCTGATTTGCATTGATTTTTACGACCAGCCGACTGCATAACGTCAACCCTCTTTGGGAAGTCTATCGTAGGTGGTTTTACCGCCACCATACGGTTGACCACGGTCGGAAGATATTGTAACCAATTACAAGCTGATGTATTAAAAAACAAAAACACGACTGCGGTAATTACAATGTTGTATTTTGCGATTAAAATCCGCCATCTAGAATTTATCATTTTTTATTTAAATATAGCTAGCTAATGTCACTCGCGCTACTAAAAACTCATTTATGTCTAAATCCAACTATTTGTTTGGGCTGTAGCCCGTGAAAAAGAATTTTCTTGTCCAAATACATACATATAAACATACATACTACTCTCGAAAAACATAACCCTACTTCTGAGGTAGTCAGGTAAAAAAGATTGAAATATTCAATCTGTTCAAAAATAATTTCGCTTTTGTGTTTTTAAGCAGATATCCATAGGTTTTTCATGGCCTTTTTCTTCATTTTTGGTGTGAATTAATGTATTTCTGCCAGACAATCGGGAAAGCAACACAAAGGGCACCCATTCATAACATGGGATACACAAGAGGTCTGAACCAAGCATTGCCATGATGACGACGGAGCAAAAAAAGAATTTTGATGAGGACGCCACTATCGCCAGGGAGCCTCTTAATAAGTGACCATTTTCAAATAGACCTCGGCAAAAGGGCAATGTGAGAAAAAACTTAATCGTGAAATTATTGGGTGTGTATTAAGTTTTTTCTAAGGTTTTTTGTTCGTTTGACTGATATTGTTTTTGTTAAATGGGTATTCTCTTGATTATAGATTCTAGGCTTGCTAGGCTAGCTAGTACTATGACACTTTTTATGATCTTAGTGCCTCGACACACTACGACCGAAATTACGCGACGGAATTCGGCGCAATTACGCCAGCAATGTTATTTGTATTACGGATGACACACTTCAGCCGAAATTCTGTCGCCGAAATTACGTCCCCGAATTTCGGTGCGCAGTAATTCGGCGTGAATTGTACGTAATTTCAACGCTTATAGTGTGTCATCCCCAACCGAAATCGCCGAAAACTGACGGAACGGAAATCAGTCGCCGAATTTCGGTCGCGTAATGTAGCTCGTAGTGTGTCGAGGCACTTAGGTAGGTACCACACGTAACGTCCGTTGCAGTGTTATTTTAGCGATGCGCATGCGTTAGGACAAAACGAATTTCCATCTTATTCACATACACATACGGTCTATGTCAAACGGTTTGTGCGTTGATGCGTCTGTCAAGTTATAAATGTCTATTCTAAGTCCAATCTATAATCTTCTACGAATATGTAAGTACATACATCACGCATATATCCCTAGTGGGGTAGGCAGAGCCGAAACGGCTGTAGAAAATGGCCATTTACACCACGTCCGACAAAAGCTTGAGAGTCATTTAGAAGACTGTGTATCAGTATAAGGCGGACAGGTTCTCAGCCTGTCGCCTAAAATTGCAATACACAACAACTCTATCCCTTAGTCGCTTCTTACGACACCCACGGGAAAGATATGGGGTGATGATGAAGCCGGCATCACACGGCATCCAGTCTAGCAGCTCTACGAATCTAGTTTTAAAATAGTCTCATAATATAATTATCGTGTGGGGCTTAATAGCATTACCCCATATCTTTCTCGTGGATGTCGTTAGAACCTACTAAGGGATTTGAGTGTAGATGTATTGCAATTTTGGGCTACAGGGCTCACTATGGTGATACACAGTCTTCTGAATGACTGTCATTTTTTTGTTAGACGCGGAGTAAACAGCCGTATTTTACAGCCCTTTATACTCTACCTACCCCACAAGGGTGATATGTACTCATATTATAAACGTTTAATCTAAGTCCAATCTCCAGTCTTCTGCGAATCTAGTTTTAAAATAGTCTCATGATATCTTCCGCATTCCTAGTCTAGGTTCCCTAGGTCTAGTTAGGTGCTCTAGGTCTAGGTCTATAAGAATTGCGTTGACCGGTAATACTGGGTTATTAAACAGGCACTATAGCGGTTCACATACGTGCCGCACGAAACTGCGGTAGGTATATATTCAGACGACAGCATGAATGAATATTGTGTAGTGTGGAGTAAAGATAATAAGTATAGGTGTGAACGAAGCGAAGATTTGACGGCCGATAGAGGTGAATGGAAGAGAAAGACATGTAGCGCTGACCACAAATAAATTAGGATAAGGGCAGGCAGATGATGACGTACCTACGTCCTAGGTAGTAGGTAATTATTGAAATTTATACTAGTAGTACTTAGTGTGATGCCAGCTTACGGCTGCATCACCGCAATTTTACAAGTGGGTGTCGTAAAAGGCGTCTTATCGATGGATCTAGAGAATAATAATAATAAGAATAAGCAGCGTTCCATGTGAATATCTGCAACACATTGCACTTCGCTTGGCAATCCGCCTGCCGAGCGTGGTGAGTAAGGCAATCCCCCCAATTCGGGGAGGCCCATGTCCAGCATTGGACAGTTGTTGCTGCAGTAGTAGCTTCTAACCTGCGGTTTTATTCATATTCTATCGACGTTGACATTGGACCGGCAAATAACTGACATCTTGCGACATGTATGAAAACCGTCGATACTAAAGAATCCAAGGTAGAAAGGAGGGGGCATTTTTTAATCGCTGGAATGCATGCGGTAATTAGTTATAATGGGGATAGCAAATATAGAGTTTTATAGCTTTGTTGTTGTTACCAACAAAAGATAGTCAAGTAGCTCGCTAGTTTATTTTAGAAAATCGGCCAAGTGCGAATCGGTCTCGCGCAAGAAGAGCACCGTAGTGTTATGTATAACAAGTTAAAAAACAAAAAAAAACCGACTGCGATAATTTTAAATTAGTATTTTGCTCAAAAAATCCGCCATCTTGAATCTATTAATTTTTTAATATAGCCAGTGTCACTCGCACTGCTGAGACAAATCTAACAACACCTCATATGTCAAAATCCAACTATCCGTTTGGGATGTAGCCCGTAAAAAAAAAACTTGTTCACATACATACTACATACTCTCGAAAAACAACCCTCCTTCTGAGGCAGTCGGGTAAAAATCACACTTATTAATAAGGTGTAAAAAATTGACTGCAAATATTGTAAGGGGTGAACCGGCCCATGAAACTGAACAACTTTCCCAAAGGAACATAGGTCGATATATGAAAAAAGAATTTGGACCTCCCATACAAATTGACTCGGTCAGCTGGTCCTTTTTGTATGGGAGGTCCAATATGAGCATCAAGAGTTGAGAAATTCATCAGGGACAGCCAGGCGTCTGTAGCTCAGTTGAGTTGACAGAGCAGTGGGACGGTTCCCCACTGTCCCAGGTTCAAGTCCCGGCGGTCGCTAATGAATTTTTCAACTTTCTAATTTTTTATTTATGAGTATAGTATAGCACTGTGAGTGCATTAAAAATCCCAATACAATATTAAAGTACCTAATTTAATTAGTAAAGAAAGACTTGTCGAATTTAACACCTTGTTTGACACTTTTACGGAAGAAGTTCAAATAAAAATAGTATGTTCTTGACGTTATTGTCGATAAATTATCGATGAGTTGAATGCCTACCTTTTAAAACATTTTCTGTTGGAAGAAGAAATTTTTTGGAAAACCTCTTTAATGCCGTCGGCATTAATTAGGTACCTACCTGCACTGAAAAATGTTGCAAGTTTTTTTAAAGTTTTGTCGATGAATGAGGGACTGTCTAGGGCCACATTATTGAAAATTAAAATATAAATGGCGCACTCAATCATCATATTATGTCTACATGTGTTAAAGCGCGCCATCTATATTTTTCTTTTCAGTAACGTGGCCCTGGATAGTTTCTCATTAAACTTTTAATTTTTTCCTCATATTTACAAAACTTTATTTATGAACATGTACGTTCCCCTTTTGGTGGTATTTGGCACAACAAGCTTGGTACGCGGATTAGCAAGCGCAATGCAAGTTGTGACAATTGCAAAATTAAGTACATAATTATTATCGATGCATACCTACTGTAACCTGATTCATATAAGAAAGGGGCCCGAATTGGCAACATTATTGTTGACATCCTGCTCAATCAAACGTCATGTATTAAGAAAAAGACGCAAATAATAACGTTGCCATTTCGGGTCCCTTTCTTCTATAAATCAGGTTATACCCGTGCTATCGATACTAAGTATCAATGTATAAACAACACTAGGCACTGAAAATGTTAACACCTCAAGAAACTCGACCCATTTTAAGTTGAACGCATTTACCGTTCTAACTTTAGACATCGTTAGTTAAAAGTTAGAATTCGGTTCGAAAAACTTTTCGAACTCTGAGATATTAGGCGATTTCGCCCCTTTCGGTCGAAACTTTTATCGGTTGTGTACTATCGGCAGGACATTAACCTACTTGCAGTACAGTTGCCGAAGGTGCCAGGTTCAAATACTGCCTGCGGTGTTTCCCAATAAATCAGGTGTCTTTAAAGACTCGGCGTGGTGTGCCGTCAAAATGACTTGTTTGTATGGGGGTGCCAGAAAGACCGGGCGGTACGCCGCGTTGCCCTCTCCATATTGACGCAAAGTTGCAGAGCCTCGAACACCGTCGCAAAGTGGCTTGCTTGTCGGTATTCTACAGGATACATTTTGGGGAATGTGCACAGTCTCTCCATGACCTGATACCTCCGTCATCATTACATCTCCGGTGCACGAGAGGCCGGTTGCGATTCCACCCTTATATCGTAGACATCCCGCAAATTCGCACAAAGCGTTTCGCTTCTACATTTTTAATGCGAACTGCTAAAGAGTGCAACTCCCTGCCTGCGGATCTGTTTCCGGGACGTTACAACCTGGGCCTTTTCAAGGCGAGAGTGAATAGGCATTATATTAAAAAAACTATGAACGACGCTGTCACGTTATCGGCGCACTACGACGCCGCCACGCTCGGTCTTTAGTTGACCAGTTGACCTTAAACCTTCCAATTTCACTGTGCGTTCGTGCGGCGGATACCGGTGGTCATCATCTTCCTGTCCTTATCCCAATTACTTGGGGTCGGCGCAACATGTTTCGTTTTTAACACAAAATCATTCAATCATTTGCAATAGGGTTTGGAATAGGTAATTTTACGACCTGCCGCCTGTCTGACGTCAACCCTCTTTGGGAATGCTATATCGTAGGTGCCAGTTTTCTCATTGATCTGTAATTACAGCACGGCCGGTCGAACAGGTCATATCTGACAGCTGTCACACCCATACGACAAGTCAGCAAAGAAAAATAGACCTTATGTCACAGCAGTCACATGATTTTGACAGCTGTCAAATATGGTCTATTCGAGCGGCCGTACTGTAGCTATCTAGTGTGCGCCAATTAAGATCGGTCCCACGAAGTATGAATGGGATTTATTCATACGTTCAAACCAGAGTTAATAGTGGGGGAGCCACACTTCACTCGCTTCTACTACGTTTCACATACACAGAGTGTCCCAAAAATAAACTTACTTTTTTTAAAATAAAATGTCTCGCTATGCACTACTACTAATTCAAATGTTCAGGGTGTCCCAAAACCGCAGTAGTATTTTAAAACAATAATACATACCTACATAGATACCTACATATTGGGTGAAATATTACTAGTGACCGAAAGCGAAACCTTAGAACCGGCTGGTGATAAGGAACTGCTTTCCCTAAGGAACATAGGCCGAAATATGAAAAATTGGATCTCCCTTACAACATTGCCGATGAGCTATTTGCGTTACAATGGGAAGTCTAGTTTTTTTTCCCATTTCAATCTATCTTCCTAGGGAAAAGAAGTTCCTTAAAATTGTTGTAATAACAAGTTGGTTCTGAGTTTTCGCTATCGGTGACTCACCTTGTAATCACGCCTATATTATGTAGGTAAAATGTAAGTGACTGTATAAAACAGCCATTTACAACACGTTTGATAAAATTTTCAGAATCTTTCAGAAGAGTGTGTATCACCATAGACACAGGTTGTGAGCCTGTCGGCTAAAATTGCTATACACATCAACTTTTGAATTCCTTAGTAGCTTCGTATGACACCAATGCGACATACACGGGGTGATGCTATTCTAAGCCGACACCACACAACACAGCATACATTATCTATCGAGTGGTGAAATGCTTGTTTTACCGCCGCAAAAAGGCGCGGGCAACCGATGTCAGTGTCATTATGCAAATTCGGGCGTTTCGGACACTGCCCCTGGACACAAAGTAAGTATTAGCTGGCGCCAATCCAGAGAGACGGCTTCAAGGAAATATCGCTATACTCACACAGACATCCACACGGATCGAACCGTCTAGTAGCGAGTGTCAGCAGCGTTCGGTGCGGTGCTAGTGGACTGCAAAATTACGATTCGCAAGTTTTTGTAAAGTATGTTTATAGTGTATGTTTATGGTGCCGTGTAATGCCGGCAGAGTAGAATAGCACCACCCCCTCTCTTTCCATGGGGATCGTAAGAGGTAACCGAGGAATAAACCCGACCCAAACAGCCAGGGTCAACCGTTAATCCACCACAAAAGCATTCCCAAGGAGGGTTGATGTCTGGTGGGCGGCCGGTCGTAAAATTAAGCCAAATCCTTTGCAACACGATTTTGTGTTCAACACAACGTGTTCCGCCGACCCCAAATAATTGGGATAAGGGTAGGAAGATGATGTTATAGTGTATGTTTGATTTAATGTAAGTAATATCCTTAAGTATGTTTGACCCAGGTACGGCACATTAAAAATTCAGAAAAAGAAAGTAGCAATCCCAGAGTGTAGATATAAATGATCGGAAGAAGGGGCGAGCTTGAGGCATAAAGCTACATGCTGTGTGGTTAGCCTGGCCAGCCCCGAGGCAGTGCCTTTATTTTTATTTTTTTCCTCCCGCCCGAGCCGCGTTTATACAAGGAATAAAAAAATGTTTTACAAAAGAGAAAATTGTGCCTTGCAAATTTTTCTTTTTAACAATGGCTAATTTATTTCTGTGTAATAATGACTATCAAATAAGTGATATTTTATATTTTACATTGAATAAAGAATTTTGTATTTGTATTTGTATTTAGCTGTCCTTCTGTAAATTCACTATTTTGTGCTTTCGATTAGCGACATGCAAATAAAATTCGGAGAATTCCGGCTTTAATCGAAATTGATTTTACCTGTGGCATGACATTAGATAATAACTATTGATTATGATTAAGCAGCTAGTTGACAGCATAATCAATGTTTGACATTTTGTTTGATTTGATATTGATTTTTGGAAAACTTCCAAAATTTTCACCGCAGGCAGGATTTGAACCTGCGACCTTCGGCATCAGTACTGCCGACGCCCTAATTGATATTGATTCACTGAAATTGTGTGTTTTTGGACTGTGTATGAGGCCCTAGCTCCACACATTAGACGTGAGACGTGCGACATCGACACGCTTAAAACCGTTTCCATACAAAATGTATGAATCGCATCGATGACGGCTCAAGATCACTTGTCTGATAGATGTCATCTTGCGCCTCACGCCTCACGTCTACTCCATGGAGATTGCGACTAAGGTAAGTGCTTCTTGGGTAAGTGCTAGGTAAGTATTTTGTCAGCTGTCAAGTGGTGGATAAATAGTAGTTTTTATAACAAGGGAATAAAGTGATATATTTAGGGCGAGGGCGCTATTTTGAATCATGAGCGGAACGAGGGATTCTAGAGTAAAATCCCGAGCGTAGCGAGGGATTTTAAAGTAGAATCGTGAGTGAAGCGAGGGATTCAATGTAAATCGCCCGAGAATAAATAACTTTATACCCGAGTGATACATACTACTTTTCATCCCCCTCTATGAGAAAAACAATAAATACTTACTTAATCTACGAAATTCTTTAAATATTGCTTGCTATTATCCATTATTTTACAATACATCCTATAAATTGCGTTATAAACATCCAATATTTACAAAACCATTATCACACATTTCATTTCATATTATTGCAATATAATTGTGAGGATAAATATTGTTGTTGCCCATTGCCGGCCAACTATCGCGCCAAAAGAAAAATAAAATTTGACACTTACTTTTTAATATTATTTTTTTTCTGGGAATTAGGTTTTTTATGAGCAGCATACTAGGTGTAAAATACTCAATAAAATAGCAGATAACAGGTAATGTTGCAGAGAAAAAACCCATCTGTAGTAAATTTTCGATTGATTGACTGCAAATATTTGTGTTCCAAATTCAAATGAATTTTAATCCCTTGGGATTAAATAACCTATTTTAATCCTACTTATGTGCGACCAAAGAGTAGTTTTTTGAATAGAGGGGATGAAAAATAATATCTCTTACAACTGAGGTACAAACTAAATAAGCGACATATTTTTACCAAACCCTTTTTTAAACTTGTCT